ATAAGTTTAACATAACAGCAAATGTACAACGTTTCGACAAGGTTTTGTCATCATCATCATCATCATCGTACCTGATGATGACAAAATCTTGTCGAAACGTTGTACATTTGCTGTTATGTTAAACTTATATTAAAGTTTTTCTTCATTACCCATTCAAGCCGTCTCCAGCCATTATTAGTCTCAAAGTGGGTTCCTCGTCATCGAAATATCTGAATTTGTTTTCTCTTGAAAGAACGAGAGTTCGGGGAATCTGACGGGGGAATTGATTGATAGTGTTGATGCTTTAACCTTTTCCGTATTTAATGGTGAGAATGGTAAGACTAGGAGACACAAAGATAAATTTTGGCAGGATAGTAGTCATATTCAGCTAAGACAGCTTTATTTTCTGTGTTAACTTAGGGGAAAGCTTGATAAATATCTGAATGATAAGGGCTGGCTTTGGATTGTTTAATTTAGTGGATGGGATGGTCTAGATAGACCGAGTAACAAACAGCCTTTAGAGTTATAATCAGTCAACATGTAATTTAAAAAATGAAACTAAACACATACCCACTCATGAAACAATTATACTATTAAAATGGTAAAAGATGACACCTAAAGACCAAATATCAAAAGCACTGGTCACAAGTTCCTGTGATAGGTCAAGAGTCCAGAAAATAGCATAAGGTGTACAGAAGATACAAAATTACTAGTTTTAATCCTGCATCTCAGTAACTTGGGATTATTGAAGTTATCACTTAAAATAAAATATTATAATATAAGACAGTGCTTCATACAATAATGAAATACTGATGGGCATAGCACAAATAACCTATTGTTTATTTTTGTGCTTAATTAACAACAAAGAAAAGAAAAATGGACGCTGTGTAATACATTATTTCCTGTCTTTATTTTCCTTCAAGCTCAGTCAAGGTTGAAAGAACTCGGATTTTTTTATGTAAATAATTTACTGACAAACCTCCAGCTATTTTGCAACTCTTATCCAATTTCTCGCAGGGAAATCACAGAGAACCTGAGAATACCACTCACACACACACGCACAACAGATTCATACTGGCTCTATAACTTAATTGCTATACCTTTTGATAAAATATTTTGAATTTTCTTATAAAAATCGCTATTTCATTCTCTCTTTTTTAATATAACCAAATTTTCATATTTTACACATACACACACACATATACATGATATGTATTATTTGTCAATACACCTCAAAAGAACCTTGTACCCTTAAAATGTTTTAAAGCCATCTTTCATGTAGCCCATTGTGACTCAGTGGTAAGATTGAGGATTTATAATACTAAAATATAGGGCTATATTCCTATAGCCCATTGTTCAGCTTTGCGCTTAACAACAAACAAAACTCCAGGTAAATAAATCAAATTTAGGCCAAGCATTTCACATTTCACACTATTTGGAGGATTAAGCATGTTATATTAAAATATTTTGAACGTGCAAATCAGCCGATATAAAGTTGCAGTGGAATGGAGTGATCAGATCCACTTTGTGAAATTGTTTTGCATCTTGAATATAGGTAGTGTAATGCCACCGAAAATTGATTACTTTTGGAAAGTAACAGCCTTTTCTGTTTTCAAATTATTCATGCACTCAGATCATAGAGGTGTGTTCAGATTGGAAGTTTATAATTTACAAGATGGGAGATATCTCTTGTATTTAATTACATTATAAAACAAAGGAAGTGGATCATCTTGGGCACCAAGACCATCCAGAAAGAGACCTTGAACAAGTTATATCCCAGCTGTGGTAAGCAAAATGTGGCTGTACCATCTTGTAACAGGTGAAAATCTACAAACATAAAGGTCAGTTGCAAAATCCATCCACCGTGTTCCAGGTGTTATGCCTCCGTTCGTTAGTTAATTTTGCGTAAAAATATTTTCCTAAGAAAATTTAGCGATACAAGTCCTTTCTTAAATAAAACTGGTTTATTCTTTCTGAATACAACTTTGCAAT